ATAGATAGATAGATAGATAGATAGATAGATAGATAGATAGATAGATAGATAGATAGATAGATAGATAGATAGATATTAGTAATGCAAAATCATTACAACTTTGATTTGCAGACAGTTTTAGCGTTGGAACACAAGATAAAAGCGGAGTGTGGCATCTTCTGTTTTTCTTATCTCTGCTGCCGTGGTTAAAAATAGCTCATCCGCGCTGTTTGTACTGAGACAAACAATGCCATTAGTGACACAAAAACAGAACAAAATTAAAATTTACAGTAAATTAATCGTATTTATGACAGCTAAAATATCCTTCTAAAATATTCACTTAAACACAAAAAAATGTAATGTTATCAAATTACGACGAATGTTCTTTATTGCTTTTACTTTAATAGAATGAGAACATGAAATCTGCTTGTTCACAATCAATACAGGTTACTACTTTCGGTATTTAGTGGAGACGGCGGTGCAGAAGAGGAAGGCGTTAAACCGATACTACGTTTATCTGGCCACCTCCCCCTCAGCCAATCAGAGACGTCGAAGGCGAAACTGAGCAGGAGGCAAACTCACCTGAGTCCTCCACCTTCCTGAACCCTAGACATGGTTAACAAGCACACATAACATCAGAAACTAGATGTTTGAAAAAAAAAAAAAAACAGCAAGAAAACAAAGCCAGTGAGTAATTTTATTAGATATTTATTAGAGTAGAAAGAGAAATAATATAAATCTATTAAAAACAAGATAAATACTCATATTGGTGCAACACTGGGCTTGATGGTGCCATCTCTGCACTATAAAATATGTGCTTCCAGAGATATCAATTATGTCTCACTTATTGGCAGTCATATAGATGATTGTGAGTTTGCTAGTTACCATGACTACAGCGCTTCCTCTGTCACAATGACTTGTGAATTAGTCAGGAGGTGGTATATAATGATGTGGGAAAGTTTTCTTGGGGCTAAGCTTAGTTCCTCAAAGTGTACCTCCAATGCTTCGGACACCAAGACAGAGACAGCTCCCAGGACAGAGGAAACAGTTTAGAGAATGCCCATTCCTGTTTAAATGAGGCTGCATACCAGTGCAGAAAGTAAATACATGAAAGAAATCGAATGGCGTACAGTGCTCTGACATCAACCAGAAAGAACTACCCGAATTCCAGTGGATGCAAAAACAAAAAGAAGCCCTCGATGGCAGGATAATACACACACGGCGAGATCAAAATAGTTCTCTGACATCATGCAAAAAAAAAAACTTCTACACAGGAGAAGTATGGACAACAAGTTGCTAGATCTTGCAAATTAGAGCTACAAGAATACATTATTTTTTTTAACTACTCCAACAAAGATTTGATCCTTTCAAAATCCTCCCCACAAGCTAGTCATATTAAGGCATATGTATTAAGAACAGAATGTCGCTAAATATCAGGGGAAGTGGTGGCCTAGTGGTTAGAGCATTGCACTTGGGTCCCAGAGGTTCGGAGTTTAACTCCCACAGACTGCCACTCTGGGTCCCTGAGCAAGACCTTTAACCCCACACAGCTCCCTGGGTACAGTGGCAGCCCACTGCTCCACAAGGGGATGGGTTAAAATGCAGAGAATGAATTTCCCCATTGTTGGACAATAAAAATATTTACATTTTTCCATTACATAAAGTTTAAAGGAAGACAAGAAACTACTGTTGACAATACAGAGTAAGTACTATTGGGTAATAGTTTCATAAATCATTTATCTGTTGTGTTTTTACTTTTGTATCCATAAACAAAGCAGTTTCTAAAATAATTAGCATCTTTTCCATTGTTATTCTATGTGTTTACTCCCATTCCCGTCAAATGAACTTCTATATAGTGGTTGAATAGTAATTTATGGAGCTGTAACAAAAAGTATTGCAATTGAGGTGATTATTTGCTGCATATTTATAGTTCTGTTTTGTCTTTATTTGTGTTTTTAGCTTACTAGTTCTGGTATTGTGAGGCATAAACATGTATTGCAACATAAGGCCAAAGTGATAAGGCACAAGATGACCCTCTGGTTGTCTTTAATTTTAGAAGTTTCATGATGCGTTGTCTTGGTGACATGGAAATATAACAATGTTGAACGATCAGAGCTTCTTGATATGCAGCGCCGCCACCTGGTCCAACGCAACTCTTTGATTTGGGCTGAGTCGGGTACTGCTGCTCACCTCCTGCCACTGAAGCATGCCCTGGTTTCCCCCCAGCTGAGGACAAAAAGAGGTCAAGTTCCTCTTCCAAAATGAAATGTCTGTATTTCAGAAACATAAATAAGAAAAGTATCCTACCATGTTGTTAATGTCAACCATTATCTGGCTTGTTCTGTCAAGGTGAATATTTATAATGGCTGTTTCCACCCAGGCATTGTCTGTGTTCCGGCAGTCGTCCACGTAGCCTTTATACACCTTTATACACAAATAAAGAAATTCAGTAGAAGAAAACCTTATCATTGCTCAACTCAACAAATAAACACAATCCACCAACAAAACTTAATATAAAAGATGGAGGAATGTATTTATAAAAGCATGAAAAGCTGTCAAAAACAACAACAGGTTTTAGTGAATGTTTTAAGTTTTAACAAAAAAAAGCCAGTCAAACACATGAACATGCTTCGATTCAAATAAAGTGACCGTAGCTTCGACAGCTATACATTCCCTACCAGATTTATTATTTATCCATGATTATCCAAAATTCATCTTCCATTTACTCTGACCAGGTTTTATTGTCCCAGCAGCAGAAACCCATCTTAATTCTATTGGACACTTAATGACTTTTTGTGGATATTCTTGTTTTACCAGGTGATTCCTTGGAGATAGGGCTGAAACCATGCAGGGAAATACACTGATTTATGATGATTAATCATAATATGAGATATTTTGATGTTTTTTAATTCTGTTTAGATTTAGAAAAACTTTATTGATATTTTTTATACACTCAGCGCATAAAAAACAAAATTTTGTTAATACTGCTTTCAGACAGTGAATGAGCAGCAGCTTAGCAGTGAAAAGGAACATTTCTATTCATAAAGTGCGGCAGTGATCAAATGTAAACAGTGTGGGAGGAAACATGGTAAAAAAAAAATGCATTGAGGTGGCAGTTCAGACCAGTGCAAAAATTAATAAATATGGTGCGAAAATGCAGTAAAAAACATCCATCCATCCATCCATCCATCCATCCATCCATCCATCCATCCATCCATCCATCCATCCATCCATCCATCCATCCATCCATCCATTATCTAACACGCTTATCCCAATTGGGGTCGCAAGGCTTGTTGGTGCCTATCTCCAGCTGTCAATGGGCGAGAGGCGGGGTTCACCCTGGACAGGTCGCCAGTACATCGCAGGGCAACACAGAGACAAACAGGACATACAACCATTCACGCACTCACACCTAAGGAGAATCTAGAGAAGCCAATTAACCTAACAGTCATGTTTTGCATTGTGGGAGGATGCCGGAGTACCCGGAGAGAACCCACGCATGCTCAGGGAGAACATGCAAACTCCGCTCAGTGGGGCAGTGCTACCCACTGCCCCACTGAGCAGCCCCCACAGTAAAAAACATTTGAGCTGAATACTATTAGGTTTGATCAAACTCAAATAGTCACTCAGTTTTGGCATACATTGTTGTTTTTGTTTTTTAATTTTCTTTTGTGGTGAGAAGGTTGCTAGTACCCGGTTTGGTCCCCACGGCCTGCACTTTGGGTTCCTGAGCAAGACCCTTAACCCCTGAGTGCTCCCGAGGCTGCGCACAATGGCAGCCCACTGCTCCCCAAGGGGATGGGTGGGTTAAATGCAGAGGTAAATTACTCCAGTGTGAGATCAATACAGTTCAATTTCTTTCATTTCTTTTTTTTATCTATTTATTTATTTTTTTAAGTTGCTTCTACTTGAGATCTGGAGCTGAACAATGAAATAAGATACTTTATTGTCTAATAAATCAACATTAAATTGCTTTTTTAATATAAAGCAACCTTTCTCAATGAGGATGATGCAAAAGAATCAAAAAGCCAAACTGACCATTTTTCCCTCGGACACTTTTGCATTAAGGGCTTCAAACACTTTTCTTCCCAGAATTCCTTTTAGACTTCCTGGCAGCTGATCCACAGAGTCAACGGGGCCCTGAATGTTAAGAAAAATATAAGACCAACAAATGTACTCATAAAGATATATAATACAAGACAAAGCAAGCTAACAATAACTCACCCCCGGGAGAGCTAAAGATTTAAGGTTTGAGTTCAAAACCACCAAGTACTCCAGCACAGACCTCTCACTGTCCCGCCACCTAAAAAAATCAGATAGCAAATTTCTTATATCTGAGTGACAACCTTTTAAATGAATTAAATTTTGGTTAATAGCACCTTATTATAGATGACCTACCGTGTCAACAAAAGGTCTAAGTTCAAGTTTGGACCGAGGCAGCTGAGTTCACCTCTTCCTGTGATGCCTGTCCTCCCTTGTGGGTTTCTATTGGATCCATGAGAGATACTGAGATGTGGTCCTAGAAGCTACAGTAAATGAGTATTATGGTTTACCCTACCTGTATTTATTCAAGACTTCTTGATCAGGTCTATGATGTAAGGAAAAAGTAAAGATAAAATATGTTAAACAGAGTCAGACAAAAAGGCCTGATCATTAAAGGACTTATTTTTTTAAAACATACTCATCCACATGGTCGTCACCATCTACAAAGCGGGGTTCGTACAAGCTGAAGCTGACCTGCCAGAAAGATTATGTAAAATCTTAAAATTCATAAATCTTAAACACATTTTTCTTCAGAATAAATAGATTCTCAAATACAGAACCTTTCAAAAGTATCCATAACCTTAAACCTCCAGGGTTTTTTTGTCTATATCACAAGCTGAATAAATGTATTTTACTAGAATTTTTCTTTGCCAATGCGCTGTTTTCATTTCCTTCCTTTGTTTCTTTTATTCCCTTTTGTTGAGTTTTTCTTTTATTTCTTTTTGCGTTTTCTACCCCAAACCCCTGTCTATTCCTGTCATGTTTAGTCTTTGCTTCCCACTTAAGCTTTTTGCAAATTGTTTCTACCAGCCTTTCTTTAGTTTTTTTTGGCTTTCATCAGCAGGTTTCCATTCACAAAATAGACTCGCCTGTGTTCATTCTAGAGTTTACCCTCCCTGATGGGGAAGCCTCTCTTTTATTTTCTCCTCTGCACTTATGCGTATCTGTGAGGTCTGGACTTATTGCCACCATTAAATACCCAACTTGTCATGAGACTGCTTTACTCCTGTATGTAATTTCAACCTCCACAAACAAAACCAAGAACAAACTCAGTAAACATTGCATTGAAAATTGATTTCTTCCAAAATCACTTATTGTATTCCTTCCTCTACATAAAAACACACCTCTTAGTAATGCAACAGAAAACTGAAAGGTTTAAACCTTTGAAAAGCACTATTTGTGAAGTACCTGCCATGGCACTTTCTCCTCTGGCACAGGGAAGCGTTTTATTTTGCTGTTTGAGTAGTAAAGCTGACGGGACTTCACATGCAAGCTTTCTTCTTCCTCTGCTGCATTCTTCAAAGACTCGAAGGATTTATCAGGTACTGCCAAGGATGCAGAAGAGAAACAACAACATAAAACACAACTCTGCTTGAAAGGGACGCATTATAGCAAATGAAACAGTGACCGATGAGAACTTTATGGTTCATACTCTGTTGCTGTGTTTCAATCGCAGAAACACCCTGACATTTCATTTTTTCCACAATCCATTGCAAGTCTTTGGTGGACTGAGTGATCTGAGGACACAAAGCAAACCAAGAATTTAACCAGTTGCAAAGACAGTAAAGAAGCAAGGCTGCTATTTTTTTTATTGGAAATGGTGAAATAAAATGTTTTTTATAATGTGAAAGGGCTATACTGTATATTACAACAGAAAATAATTATGCATAACCTGCTCCCCTAGTTTCTCCAGCTGCTCAGTTAAGGTGGTAACCCTTAGGGAAGAAACAAAACCAGCATGAGGGACCAAACTTCACTTAAGTAGCGATAAAATATTGTGTCTAAAGCATTATAGTGATTTTAACCCAAAAAAGAAAATATATCTTTACTGTCTCGGGTATTAAATATGACAATAATTGATCAAAAAGGTCAGACTTTGCTATACAAAACCATCAAAGTTATTTCCACAAAAAAGTGCATAGATTATATTCAAATTATCATTTGGAAGTAAATATCCATTGAATAGGCTGGAAATGACAAAAAACAGATGCAAGAAAATCTTTTTATGCAGGATTTTACCTTTGGGATGTGTCCAGGATTCGATTCTCCATGCTCTGGCTCTGCCTCTGCCGCACAGACACCAGATATATGTCCTTCATCAAGGACTCCCATAACAGTAGCTCTTCTTCGTCTGTTTTTTTAAGCTCCTTCTCTGAAAAAAATAAAACAAAAAACAGGGATTAGGGTCTTTTGCCTCTGTTCGGGTTCAGTTATAAGGGTCCACAGGCATCCATACAAATAAAAAACTTGGTGAAAAGTCTAATTTTATAAAGTCACAGTCTGCACTTGATTGGTTTATACTCAGGAGATTAAGGTAGAGTGGATAATTTTCTTTAGGCTTCCAGTGTTCGGAGGATCCTTTTTTTAATTGGTTATCCCAAAGCCAATCTTTGTGAAGTGCTCATTTCCTCTTGCTGTATAGCCACACTTCTGGTGTTTGTATGTCCAGTGAGCTCTGGTTTTAATGTAGCTCCACTGCTTCACACACTATGTGGGACAGAGTCACAGGAGCAGCAGTCTCAGTAGTCTCAGTAGCCTTAACAGAAACTCCCAGACTTCCCTCACCTCTCCTTCCTAGGTCAGCAGAGAGACATAGTCCCTTCAGGGTGTGCAGGACTGTCCCCTGAACCTCCTTTTTCAAGGGAAGTGGTTATGGTGCATCTGAAAATTATTTTCAAGCCACATCTGCTCACTCCTATTGATGTGGATGAGAAGCAGCTTTACTACAAGCCTCTCCCAGATGACCAAGCTCCTTACTTTATTTCTAAGGTAGTTCCCAGCCACCCTGAGTAAGCTCATTTCAGCAGCTTGTGTTTGTGATCTCCTTTCTTCAGTCATGATCCAAACTACATGACCATAGTTGAGGGTAGGAACATAGACCTTTAAGCTCTACTCTCTCTACAGCACAATAGAGAAGTGCAGAATCTAGCACTCTAGATTTCCCGCTCCATTCTCTCATCACTTGCTAACAGAACCCCAAGATACTTTAACTCCTCGTCTTGAGGCAGGAACTCTCCTCCAACCTGGAGGGGACAAACCACCTTGCAGAGTCGAAAACCATCCCCTCAGACTTTGAGGAGCTGATTTTCATCAAATTCAGCTGCAAACCACCCCAATGCATGCTGTAGGTCTCTGCAGGAAGGGGGTCATCAGACCCCATCATCTACAAAAAGCAAGGTGCCAATCTCCTGGTACTCAAACAAGACCCCTCTGGTCTTTGGCTGTGCCTAAAAATCATATACTTAAATGTTAACATGTCCAAAACGCACCAGGAACTGGTAAGACTTAATGCTGGCAATGCGGACCAAACTCAGCTTTTACAGGGACCGGATGGCCTCTAGCAAAGGGACCCGGACTGTATTCATGGAGCACCCCAAACAGGACACTGTAAGGGACACGGTTGAAAGCCTTCTTTAACCCACAACACATGTCCGGTTGGGCAAGCTCCTCCAAAGCACCTTCCAGCAGCCTGCAGTAGGCTTATAGAGCTAGTTTAGTGTTTCTTGGCTGGGATGAAAACCACACTGATGCTCTTAAGGCCAAAGTTCAACAATCAGGTGGAATCTCCTCTCCAGCACGCTAGGAAAGGCCTTGCTAGGGAGGCTGAGAGAGACATATTGGAGAGACATGCCTAAAGCCCAATAACATCCGGAGACCTAAGGTACTCATTGTGGATGTCATCTATCCAGGATCTAAAAAGTCTTTGTGACTAGATATAAGATTGTAAGACTTAGTTAGATGGACAAGTTTTCCAGTGCAAAGTGTTCTACTTTAAGTAAGTACCGGTATTAACCAGAAACTTATGATTGATATTTCTGCTAGATATCTAAGACAAATGTTTTCATAGTGCTAGATGAACTGTTTTTGAACAATTTTATCTTTGATTTAAATTTGTAAAACCTTGTTCTGGATCATGTCCTTCTTCACACATAGTTTGACATGACCTATACCCTTAATATAGATCATTTATTTCAGAAATACTAGAAAAGTTATTCAAACAGCGAAAAAAAATGCTGAGGGGACAATAAATAGATGGAGATTATCACCAAATGCAGGTAATCTAAGATCACTTCTCTCAAACTGCCACAAAGGAAAAGATATCATGACTAAGGCCTTACTGAACTCGTTGGGCCTGGTAGGGGAGCAGCAGGGAAACATGTTGCTGATTAAGAGCCGGAGATGACTGAAGATAATGAAAGGAGGTGGGGCATTTGGCCGGCTGTGATACTCCTTAATCAGCTCATATCTTTGAAACATCCAGATCTTGTCTGTATTGTCCTGGACCTCCTGGAACGTGAAGCTGCGCAGATGGAATATTTTCAAATTAATTAGCTGAAAACTAAAGCAGGCAGACTGTGTGATAGGACTCACTTAAAGATGGCTATGAGGAGGTTGAGCAGCAGTATGTTGGCAAAGAGTAAATAAACACAAAGCATGATGATCGACAGCCACTCAGGAAATGCCGGCATTTCGTTGTCATTCAACTCAGGACACTTGGGCTTGAAAGGCTCCGAAGCATTTATGCTGCATGAGTTTTTATCAAACTCACTATCTGCAAGAGAGAAAACGCTGAAAGTAAGACCACCGCTGAGAAACCAGCTCCAAGTTCACACAAATCACAACTTTCCTCATATGATAAATACAAGGACCCTGTTTTCACTTACTTTCAAAATTTTTGGGGAAATTTCCAAATATAATGAGGTAGGGCTCATAAACAGCCCCACGGAGGATCCAGTTAAGCCGATTCTCATTATGGATGAGGATGCCTTGTTTGGCAACACCGTACGCCACAACCCAGATACTCAGCATAAACATGAAGAAGAACATATCCATCATCTGGAGTATTCCATCACATCACATGGAAGACAAAAAGACAGAAAAAAGGTTAAACTGTAGTTACACACAATATATAAAGATACAAATTATTAAACAAAGAGAAACATACATTAAGGACCTTATTTTCTAAGATATTTGAGTCAGCATGAAACATAGACTAATAACATTAAAGATGTGAATCAAGGGTGAATTTGTTTTCTGTGTTTTTTTGCTTGTGTTTTCCACTGGGAGTTAGCGTCCCCATGTTTTAAAGGCATAATGGAGGATGTTCCTTTTTAATAAGTGGTCCTCCTAATTTTCAATCATTGTGGTGATATGTCTACATAAGGCCATCCTATGTGCACGTCCCCCTTTTCACTTACCGGTGGTGAGTCTGACATAGTGGGAAAAAAATCTTTTAAAGACACAATATTTCAAAAATTTGCAAAAATCCTCCACTATACTTTTAAGTTGAGATAGCTTGCTGTTAAGAATAAGAAGGCTGGCTTTCTTTGATTAGATTCTAGGGGAATTTTAAATAAATTTTCTTGCTTAGTGATGGCTAAGAGGCTCTCAAAGGAAGCCATATCTGAGGGAGCAATCACTTTACAATATCTGTTTTCATATCAAATAAAGTACTCATAAAATACACTAAAGTTTCTGGTAATTTGGCAAAATATGACCAAATGTAAGTGTGCCAGTACTTTTTCAAAATACTGCACATGTGTTGAAAGATTTCAGATGACTAATGCAAAGGAAAAGATGTTGTAAATGTTGCAAAAAAAATGCTTTAATCAGTCATTAGGGAAATTATGTCTACCGTTATCTCCATATTATATCAGGATTATCATTAAATACTTATTGAAACCTCTTACCATCTTCTTGATTATGATGATTTTAGGTCCAAGAGTGCGACTGATGGTGAAGATTGCCATGAGTCGGAGGCAGAAAACCACAAAGTCGATGCACAAGATGACTTTACCTGCATAGAACAGCTCAGTTGTCATCCTAAATGTTAAAAACATAAAGAAAAGGTTAGTGAGCAGCAGATCCTCTAGTGGCTTGAAAGGTTGCCCATGTGTGTCGGAGAATCTACCTGAAACCAAGTCCTAAACAGAAAAGGAGGATGGAGAGAACGTCCAAAATGTTCCACAGCTCGTGAATGTACATCTTAGCTTTCTTACGTATCCCAAAACTATCAGGGTCGTAAAACAGCTGAGAAAGAAAACACATTTAAACTTAGATGCGAGAACTTTTACTATCTGTAATTAGATAATCTGACCAAGGTTAACATACCGGTAATAATTTATTCCTTATTTGCACTGCTATAAATAATACAACATAAAAACAAATAATAATAAGGTAAAGCTACTTTTAAAGATAACACTGGATAAAGAAAGAAAGAAAGAAAGAAAGAAAGAAAGAAAGAAAGAAAGAAAGAAAGAAAGAAAGAAAGAAAGATCTCACCTGTCTGATTTCCTCACACACCAGACTGAACAGCCAGATATAGAGCAGCAGTTCTCCTGCAGATGGCGTCCTCTGGAAGTCGACCATGAGCACCGCAGCAAACAGGAACAGGAAGGCAAAATACGACACAATGTTTCCATAAAACTTGACCTGAGGAGAGCAGTACAGTCCCACCAGTTTGGGCCACCAGCCCAGAGGCTTCTCATTGTGCTGATTCTGACTGTGGGCATAAACATCAGCATTCCAATCATTTTCAGTTCATCAAAATTGTTGCTTACATGAGAAAAATCTTTCAAATCAAGGTCACATAAAATCTTTAGAGTGAGCTGATAGCAAATACCAAATAAAACAAATATTTTCCCTTACAGTCGATGATTATTTGTCCTCACTGTGCTTCCTGTAACTTTTTCCACAGACTTTATCTCTTCTTTCTTCTCGTTTTGTCTCTGGAGGATTTCATCGTGCCTAGAAATAATCAAATGACCAACAGTTTTGATGAATGTGTCCAACCAATAGGGAACTTTGAGGCTTTACTACTTCCTGAGATTTCATTTATAAACCTTTTCCCAGTGAGAGTTCACCTGTAAAGAAGAAAGTTGGTGAAGATCAGTGGGAAGAAGAAGATGCAGATCAGCACCTTCCACACAGGATTATCGACTGAGAGCTCGCCGCACCAGATCTGATTCAGATGAGCCTAAAACACAAGCATCTTATCAAAGAAAGTATTGCCTAAAATATCGTTGAAAGTTTACTTTGGTTATAAGAAGACTTTTTTTTTTTTTTGCATACATTAAAGCAATATTAAAGATTGGAGACAAATAAACAGAATGAGAAATAAGTCTTTAAGGCACAACAATGTGTTTATATGAGGAAAAAAATAAATTTTACTTCATTTCATGCAATAAACATTCTGATCAAATCTGTTTCATGCATTATTTGTTCCTGATTCTCAATATGAATGTTGCTGTCCAAACTGCTTCATATTTCACCAACAACCATAAAATTCCATATAAAATAAAAGGATTTAGTGAAATAATTAAGTCAAACTTTTAAGAAATATTTAGAGTGCCATGAGTCAGGTTTGCTGACTCATTTTTATATGTTAATTAATTTGTTCTGATATTAGACATTCACTCTCTCTTTTTTATGCATTTACTTCTCTAATTTACATTGATGCACATAATTAAAAATCCTGATACAAAACATCAAAGTTTGTTGTTTTAACAGGATAAAATGTGAACAAATGTAAGAGATATCAGTTGCAAGACTTCACTTGATTTTGTTTTTTGAGGACCACACAGTTTTTAATGTTGTATTTCCTGATATTTAAAATCTGAATGAAATCTACTCCACCTGAACGCCCGACTGAGCCACAAAGTCTTTGTTGTCAGCCTCCAGCGCCAGCCTCAGGCATGTCGTTTTGCCCCAAAAGCTGGATATGCGAACCAGCAGGTTCTTGGCCCGCTCTTCATCATGTCTGTTGCACACATTGAACACACCTGTAGACGCACACAAAGGCCAATGAATCTCAGTCTTGTTTGAAAAGATTCTCTTTACTTCTGTCTCATACCAATTGCATGATCTTCATAATAACTTGCAAGCTCCTTCATGTCCTGAGTTTCATCTGCATCGCTTCCCTCTCGTGCCATTTTCTTCAGGATCTTACTGGCAGCCAGAGCAGCAGAGATGGAATCTCTAGACTGCACGCACAGAAAAAATGCATGCAGTCATATACATAGACTACTTTAAAGATTTTGTGTGTGTTTGTGTTTTTGCAGTAGGTTTTAATCACCTGTGCCCAGGCAATTTCAGCCAAGGCCTTGTTCTTATGGACAACCGCCCAAAGGAAAAGATCTCTGCAGGCATCCCTCTTAGGCTCAGCCTCACTTAATTGATCGTCGAAGCCAGTCTCATCTTTATATACCTGAAAGTACAATTGGATTGGCTTTTGTTTTTAGGTTAGCTGGTCAGCTTTATTATCAATAAATCAGAGATGAAAGAGTCTGTGATCTCATGACATTTTGTGAAATGAAAATTATTTTAAAGCAAACAAAGAAACCAGTAACTGATACTCTAATACGGCATATGAAAGGGGGAACTTTGGTTCTAACTAAACATTTTTGTTTGTAACTGAATTTTTAATATTGAACCTTCATAATTATGCATATTTATGCTCCTATCACAGTCCATAACTTTTCACATTCAGTCTGAAATAATAAATAGATAGAAGAATAATTTTCAAAAAAATTTACTGAGTGATCTAATAAAAAATTGCAACAAAAAAAAAACTAAGATCTTTTTTTATCATAAAACATTCGAAAATATTACAGGAGAGAACCAGTTGCTGACTTTCTGGTAGAAAGTATTGTACAAGGTTGTAGAAATACATTTAGATTAGAGACAAGTTACTATTCAAAGAACAGTTAATGCTTATGTTGGTGAATTTACCCAATAATAGAGTTTAAAATGAGAAAATATATGAAAAAAGTTTACATCACATTAAAAAGCCTTTTTTTTTAACAGTTTACCCAAAGTAAAAAGTAAAAAAAACTGTTGACTGCATGACAATGTCAATGTTTTACCTCAATATTCTAAAATCTACTTACTTTTCTTGATATAGTTATTTATAAAGCTCTTAAAATAAGCACAGGTGTCACTTTTAATGATGAAATAGAAACTGTTATTTAAAGCATATGGCAAAAAAAAAGAAGAAAGATTTTAAGCAAACATCACAATCAAAAGTCATTCAAGATAAAGGAAAACTCCAGTGTTATGCAATATTTGTATCTAGAAATGGTCTCTAAATACTCTGATTTTAAAATATGTCTTTTCATTCATGAAAAAATAAGATATATTTGGGGGAGGGGCTAAAAAAATCAAAAAGCTTTATGTCTGATGGCTTCTTCTAAATTTATAATTTTTTTTATTGTGAATTTGTTGTAACATGCTTCCTTATGTATTTATTTATTGTCTTATAAAGGAAACTCTAGAGCAGTGTTTTTCTGTGTGAATGCAGTGTGACACATAGTTTGGACTATGTAGCAGCCAAAATCTATACCCAAATCAAATTTCCTTTGTGATAATAAAGTTAATCTTATCTAAATCTACTAAAATTAGTTTCACAATATATATTGGATTAATGAATCTCCATTAAGGGAAATAAATCTGTTTCTTTTTGGGGCTTTGAATTGGTTTGAATAAGTCACCACTTACTATAATACACGTTATGAGAATTAATCAAACATCTATCATTTCATTGCAGCCTGTTGTACATCTAGAGGTGGATAAGCATACTCACAGATCCTGAGCTGTCCCCTATGGACATGACAATGTGGGACCTCCCGGTGGGTTGAGGGTAGATGTGTTTTGTAAATTTGCCCAGCAGGTGGCGCACTTCAGCTGAGACATGAAACAGGGATATCTTCTCTCCTGTCCTAACACGAGCCATCCTGCCTCCAGACCTTTTGCTGAAGCCTGATGGCTTCACCCTCTTGGCCAGCTTGTACAGGAAGAAGCAGTTTGGCAGCTCTTGGTAGAGCTCACACAGAGTCTCATCGTCTCTCAGGAACTCCTCCAGGTCCAGGCCATTGTCCAGCAGCAAACTGACAAACTGAGGCTTGTTGCCTGTCAGGGCTAAAAACATGGCCCAGTGGAGTTCACTTGACTGTAAGAAAAAAAAAAAGAAAGAAAAACATCCTTATGTTTGTAAAAAAAAAAAAAAAACTGTTTGGAGAATATAGATTTGATGCACATGTTGACATATAACTTCTCTTAAAGTCGTTTGATTCAGATCTTTATATTTTAAGCAAAAAGAAATCTACAATCTGTGCAGATCAGGCGACTGGTGTCCTCACAGACATTTTCAACACCTCGCTGGACCTATCCATATAGACTTTGAAGCGTCCGATGCAGGTCCAGCAGATTCCAAAACAACTTCTTTCCCACTGCCATTAGACTGCTGAATGGTGCATAAAATGTTTGTTTGTTTTTTTTAAAGCACTAAATGTTGGAAACTGTAAATCATATACCTGTTTATGTTTACATTTGATAACCGTATTTACTTTTTATCACTGCTGCACTTTAAAAATGGAAATGTTTTGAGAGCTGTACTGAACGAAATTTCTTTTTGTATACACTGTGTGTTTACAAAATGTGAATAAAGTCTGTCTAAGGCAAATCCTGAAAGGTGAGGACATTGGCATTACTACCTAAGAAATGGGAGAAGTATGTTCTTTTTTACTTTAAGTCTTTTTTTCACGTTTTTGTTCCGTGAAAATTACGTTTTTAATGTGTTTATGAAATTAGGCACCATTTTGGTTGTATGTGTTTCACTAATCTGTGATTCTAAACTGGTGGAGAATCTACAGTATGAGGGGAATCACTGATTAGGGTCATGGCAAGAGGCCTTCCAATCTCAAAACAATATATATTATATTTTTATTTTATTTTTCTTAATAGATAGGTATTTCAAAAATATTTCTGGGAATAAAAGGTATTTCATGCAAATTTGCAAACTGGTGCTTTATTGTAACTGTATTTAAATGTGCTTTACACCACAATATGTTAGGAGGAAAATAGCTCCTGTACTTTAAGTTAATGAATTCAGTTAATTAATCAATATGTGTTGCTGTGCTAAATGTTAGGATCAAAGGTATGAAGGAATTTACATTTTATTCAGTGTTCACAGTGTATATAAAAATAGCCTAATTTGTTCGATAATCATTAGGAAACAAACAAAAAGCGTCAGTTTTGATACATTAAAAATACGACTGAGTTTAGACCTTTGTTGCACCCCACATGTGATCTCCTAAAAAACTGATTTCCATTAGTAATAGATACTGGAATGTTTCTTTAAAGTCGTTTTTGAGTATGTTATGTTTACAAATTGAATCTATTTTAGTTGTTCCTATTGCTTTTGATTTATTTATTGTTCAGATTATATATTGATATTTGTTTAATAATTAATTGGCCTGTTATACAGACACATTTCCTAAGGATATTTAAACACGCTTTTATTGGATTTATTTGTGATCCAAATATGAATCCTGCTTTCTGAACATGCACAGTAATCAAACTCACTTTCCACTGGCTTTCTTCAGTAAAAATCTCTTTCTCTGCAATGTCCACTCTGTTCCAGGCTATAGCCAGTTCCAGCTGCCTCTTCCAGGCCGCAGCTCCCCGTGATCCACCAGTCTTCGAAGCTGATGGGCAGATTTACATGTTGAGCAAAATGTTGTTAGAATAAATCCTGCACACACACTTTTATTGAAGACACATAAACACTGTATGAAATGCAGTTTCAGAATACGTAGTAACAGTTTAGGTTGAGAAAAGCAGAAAACACATTGGCAAAAAGTTTGTGGGAGAAAAGAAGACTCTGAATTTCCTAACGAAGTGTGGGAAGCAGTATTATAACCCCGATAATGGTTTATAAATACCAAAGAAGAAAATTTAATGGGAAATTCAGGGAAAAACATTCAGAACAAATAGATTAATCATCATAACAGTATGTGGTTTAATGGAACACTCAATTACGTGGACTCACACTGTTTTAGTGCATGGGTGATCTATCACACAAAATGCATTAAGCCTGCTCTGGAAGGCTTTTATTACACCACAGGAGGAAGTATTTCAAAGTCATTGTTATTGTATACTAGGATCCATAATGGAAAAACGATCCTTGTTAGTGTTTCATCACTTTACATTGGAAACCTTTACATTTATGATGGGTTATTCTGGGAAGCAACATAATCATCTCTGTGCTAAGTACATTAAACTTTAACTCTTCCAGTTCATTTCTGTGCTGTGGATGTGTGCTGCACTCTGTCCATGTTTACATCAGTAGTCACACACTTTGATATTTTCCCCATCTTGTTATTTAAAAACTTCTGTGTATTAATATTGATCACATTTATAAGACAGACCAACAAAAAGACTGCATCACTATGAAAGGAAAGGAAAATATATTTTCCTTATTTTTCTTTTACAATAGACTTCTGAAAACTGGGGTGTCAATTTCTATTCAGCCCCAGTGAGTCAACACTTTCATGGCAGTCATGCTGCAGAACTGCAGCCATATGTTTGTGTGTGGATTGCTTGTTAAAAACTACATTCCTCCCATGTTTTCTTTTGCAAAATAGCACAGCTTCAGGCAGAATGGATCTCAAGCATCTGAGAACATTAATTTTCTTGTCACAGATTCATAATTACATTAATATGGGATTTGACTGGAGCACTCTAATACATTAATACAATTTGATCTAACCTCTAAACACCCCCATAGCTTCATGGTGCAACCACCATGTTTCATGAGGTGGATGTAGGCCATTATCACACATCTAATACTGCTTTGCAAAAAGGTTTAATTTGTATTTTTTCTGACTAGAGGACCTTTTTGCAAACATGAAAACCATACAATGCTTTACAATAACAAAAACATAAAAGGACGTCAGAATAGAGGTGATGTGCTCTCTTCTGTTTGTTCTAGACATTAGAGCAATGTAAAGCCCCTGTCAAACCTTGCCGATTTAGAGAGCATATGCCTGCGTCCCAGAATCTCCTAAAATGCTGGCATAAATTGAACTTTCTATGTATTTTTTTCAATGTGGGGCGTATGAATAGAGTATTCATTCATAACGAGTCCAGAACTTATGTCCAACGACAGCCTAACTTCTGCATAACGCATGGGGGCATAATACCATGAAATGTCACACGCTGGAGTCCTGAGGGGGGCAGCAATGCGCCCCACGGCGCCCAGCCTGCATAAAACAATTTTTTTGATCGTGGTATTATCCTAGCTGCTGTTTACCGCCTGCCAAAAAAAAAAAAAGAAGAAATAAAAAGAAAAAAGAAAAAGAAAGAAAGAAGGTTTGCAGCTGCAGCAGATTCAGCGTCATTTCTGCTACGAAGTTTGTTGGTCGTGGCCGTGGGCAGGAACACAGAGAGGATCCATCAAATTCACCTTTTTGCTCACCCTTTGATGGGGATGAAATCTGGAGGAGTACTGACAGTTTCCTTCTGTGAACCCCCTTATATACCAAAATGCTGCCAATACGCCATTATACAGTAGCTGTAAGTTAGAAACACGTTCAGGAACACGTCAAATATGTTGGTTGGAGATAAGTTCTTGTTAGTCAAGTTTCTCATAGGTTATGGGTAAGCTACACACCACGACCTATGAGTAGCTTACACTTAAAGTATGTCAACGATCAAATAACTTACCTTTAACTTATGGCCCACGTATGGTATACGCTGGTATATGCCAGGAAACTTTGAGCAGGCTCAAAATTTCTCGCTGTACTTGCCGTATGTCGACGTGTACCAACATGCTTCAGCATGCTCATAACTTATACCAAACTTACCCAGAACTTATCCAACGTATACCAGTGTTTTTGCAAGATTTTTCGTACGTCAGGCATACGTTGTCTAAATCTTCAAGGTGTGAAAGGGGCTTAAGCTACTGCTTGACAAATACACTGTCGTTTGAAGTTGTGCATTACAAAAAGGAAAATAATTGAGGTTTATAAATATGTTTACAAAGCATCTGAATTACCTTTGAGAAGAGCTTGTAGGATGGCCACATCCACATCCACATCCCCATGTTTGTCCTCCCTTGCTCTATATATTGTCAGCAAATGAGACATCCTGATGATGTCCTGAATCTGGACACAAAGAAAGACATACAGTTGGATCTCTATCCTTTTTTTTCTCAATGTTAATCAAATAAAGGATTCCCATTTCAGCGGGTAAAACTGGTAATAATAAACAAATGAAGTGTCATCCAAAATTCCACCATGTACCGCTATGCATTGGTATATCATCAGTGTTCACAAACCGTTTTTGTCCACTCTATAATATCGTGTTCCTTGAAATTTCCATACTCTTGACTGAAAAAGTTCTTCAGCAGCTCTTTGATTGAGTCGATCGTGATCTGGCTGACCGGCAGTCCATACACCTGCGCGATAACATCTGCTATCCTGCCAGACCCCTCCAGGATCACACACGGTGTGTCATTCAACATGGCATTATAGATTGTCTGATAGGAGACACAGATGAGAGGTCAGATTACCAGGAACTCAAAGATAGAAAGAAAATGTAGGAAACTGCTGACACACATTAAGCGTGCCTGTTCCTCCATCCAGTACCACACAAACCACTGGGATAGTTACGCCATTCACTGGATGGTAGATAATATAAAAGGAAAAAAATAGTCAGATGAAGATGATTTTTTCAAACATTGATTTTAATAATGGGGGTCTGACTCCTTCTAACCTTTGTTTCCAAGATTTCTGCTTGAGATGTATTTCTCCAGTTTTGCACGGAGCTCAATCTCCACACCATACTTTCCATGGGTTCCATCATCAACCAGTAAGAAGTGAGTATGATTGTTATCCAGACAGGACAGAGGACCTTGACCTTGTGTATCGATCGCATAATTAGCTTTGGATTTACCCTGTAGACCAAAGCAAAATGAAAGGTTTGAAGGAATACACACACCTCTTCCATAAAGGGAAGACATGTAAACTCACCTCTTCATACTTCAAAACATGCCGGTTGTGGATTGCACCCCATGTTGCTACTCCAATCGCCACGATTTCCCCCTGCATGGTGTTACTCAGGGCATAGTCCCTCACAGCCTGTCCCACGTGCCTCATCACTCCAGCGTGAGTACCACCAGTGATGATCCATGCACCTGCACATGACAAAGTATCACAGCAAATTTTATTAGAGTGTCTGGAAAACTGGGTCTGCCTTTCTGGTACAGTATTTGACTGGAACTTTAAATCCAGACCAGAATAATAACCTGCCTAAAAAGTTCATTAGACAGCTACAGCTGATACAAAAAGCTGCCACTCTTGTTCTCACTAGATCTAAGAGGGTAGAGCGCATCAGCGTGGTTGTAGTAAAGTTAATTTGTTTAAGTTTATGGTTCAACTGTTTATTTGCTTTAGTACATGCTCTTATTGTTTTTTTTATGTTTACTTTATTTTCTTCTGTTTTTTTTTTTTATCTAAAGCCCTTTTGATGTGTCTGTACTGAACCGTGCTTTACAAATAAACTGGCCTCACTGCAAAAAAATGAAATCTAAAAAAGTAATTTCTTCCTATAATAAGTGCATTTTTTCTTGAATTAAGGATTTAAGTGAGACACTTTGCCAATGGAACAAGACAATTTACACTTAAAATAAGAAAAAACACAATTGCATTGTCTTATTTCAAGTGCATTTTATCTAGATACCTTATTTTAAGAGTAAAATTACTAATTCCATTGGCAAATCATTTTATTTATCTGCTCAAATTAAGGGTAAATTTACTCATTTTGAGATCATTTTTGCAGTGCTGCCTTGTGAGCATTTCTGGCAGAGAAGCATCTAGCCTATCGCTTATTTTCTGTCTGACCTGTCGTCTGGGCCACTTTGATAAGTCCTCTGTGGAAAACCTTCTTCAGGTGGGGCTTCAGATAGAAGTTCTTGGCTCCTCCAGTCACTGAGATGAGCAGATTGGGAGGGGAAAGTCTCCACTGTTCAGTCAGCAACTTGTAGAGAGTCTCGGATTTGGTCTCTGTGGACACTCGTGCATACTGGCAAAGAACATACAAAAGGTAACATTAGAATATGTTCATTCATTTTCCTTCACTCTGATGCCTAAAATGACTTACTAAGAAAAGCAATGACCTGAAAAAAGGAGTCAGGAAACAATTTTAGTTCTGGATGAGCAGCTCTAGTTGGAGATATGAGGATAAATCCACTGTCAGTGTGCACTGCCATCCTTTACGAATTCCTGTGCTCAGCCTGCCCTTGTCCTGGAGTGTTTCCACCTGACAGTAGTTTTTTCGACCTGCCTCTAGTCTATTCAAAACCTGTCTCCAACCTGCAGCCCATCATCTACTTTATCAAGTCTACATTCAGCTTCTTCAGCCTGTCACCAGCTTGATCCACCTTGATCTGCGCCTTAAGCCTGCTTTCTGTTCTGTCATCAAGCTAATTCAGTCTACAACTTTCCGTTGAGGATTTCTACTAGTCTGCCAGCCTGCATTCATGACCATCTTTACAAACTCTCAATAAATGTTTCAAATGCTACAACATGTCAGGCTGAATCTCAGAGCTACATAGTGCTTGTCTTTGCACTGAGAGGTTCTCAGCTAGTGAACAAATGCCAATACAGTTGTGGCTCTTTGTGTGTGTGTGTCTCTTTGTGTTTTAACCTTTATGTAACCAGGATAGTCCCAATAAGGTTAAAAACCTCTTTGTCAAAGCAGTCCTGATCATTAGTTAGCAACAAATATTAAATCACATAATCAATACACTTAGGGGATTATTTAAACCGAAGCTTTGCATTGCTTCACTAACCCTTGGGATTATTAGGACTATCTACAAGGTTGTTAGCAGAAGTTGAGAGCAGACCGCTTGCTGTAAATAGACCTGAGGGAATATTCCAGAGGTATTATCACTAATCGAGAATCTCAAGACATAATATAACCTTTAAGCTGCTCTCACCTCAGCAACCCTTTGCACCGAACCACCAAAGGTGATGCGTCCAAAAGCATCCGTTTGCTCCTCCTTGACATGTTTGTGTCGGTCCCAGGATTGTCCTACGAAGTTCTCTGGCTTTTTGGCTTCCTCGGTGTGGTAATCCTCCAAGTAGCCGCAGTAACATATAAGCTCCCCTTTACTAAAAAAACAAAAAAATTACAGGATTTGACATCTTTATATTAAAGGAAGAGGTTAAGACATGTGGATATACCTCTATGATAAAGATGTTATTGTATCTTTACACCTTTTCTTACCCTCATTTTCCATTACCTTTCAGAATGCTGGAAAGAGGTAACTAAACTGATTTGACCTCTCATACATTAAGTCACGTATTTCACCTCCATTTCCCAGCAAGTAATTAAAAATATCAAATGTAAGTGAAGTTTTGAACGATAGAATAACCATTTCCAGGACCGAACATAGTTAGAATTCATCCAATGAACTAAACAAAAAGCAAAGTTTCAATTGACAATGCAAAGTAAAATAGTGCTAAGAACAGCTGTTTGTATTTAATGACATACTAAGTGGAGACACAACAGAGACTTATAATGAGATTTAACTGCAAATAGAGCAGGTTCTTTCAATATCAGCGGAAAAAATAAGCTCAGTTTAGATTGCTGAATTGTCCTACCTGGGATCCCTCTGGAAATAGATGCATTCCTTCTTTTTGATATTCTCTTGTATCCAAGCGGCAACACGCTGAAAGGAAAGAGAGTTGGAAAGATGTTTAGGTCCTGTTTGGATTGCCAAAGTACGAACCGAATGTTTCTTAATTTCTGCTTCCGTCATGTTGTGCCCGTGCAATGATCAGTGCTGGTCAGACAGTAGCCAAGCTGCAGGGTGTTTTCATGGCAAGAGACTGCAGCATCTGCAGCCTCACTGTTGGCACACAGTCAGCTCTGCATCAGTGATGGGCAGGGTAGGGATCTTGCTGACCAGGAAGCATATCTGATCCTTGATGAATGGATCACTGTCTCTAATATAAATGTAAAAGCATTTGATATTTATATTATCTAATATAGATATATGATCTAATATATTTATATTATATAATATAAATATATTAGATCATATATTTATATTATCATATATTATCTAATGCATTTAAATCAATTGTTTAACTATAATTAAAAGTTCTTGAAAAAGAATTAAAGCAACTAGCAGGACAGCTACCCGTTCCATTTGCCTCGGCGTTATGGAATAGTTGTTAGATGAAAGGTACTGTTGGCACCAGGTAAGACAAGAATACCCACTAATTTCCCCATTCAGACAGTGCTTGCCCACGACCAAAATCTAATAAATTAGAAAAGATTCCCAAAGGAGTAAATCATGATAATCTAATTAAAATTAAAATAACTCCAATTGGATAAAAAGTTCTAACAAATAACTGCGTTTTTTTTTTTTTTTTTTTTTTTTACATAAAATCTCTTGCTTCAAAAAGTCTGCTAGTTAATGACTTAATTTGTGATAATCACATTGATTTATATTACCTTACAGAAACTTATGCAGGAAGAGGATTATGTGAGCATAAATGGAGCAACTCCTTCTAGTAATTTAAATTTTCACATACCCAGAAATTCTGACTTACTGATTACCCGGACGGCAGTTAATAATTACAATTCTTTTCAACATTTAAACCTTAATTTCCCTGACTTGGATGCAGCATGGTAGTTGCCAGTGAGCTTGTTCTCCAGGCAGCCATGGGTGACCCATCTTACAAACTACCTGCGAGGCGAACTATCATGAGAAAAATACATGACCAGCATGCCGCGGAAAAAGCCACAAAAGATGAGAAGTTGATCGAGGCAACCTCTGCGTCTGATTTTTGGAGGCACAATATTGTTAAAGTGGGTCATCTATAATTGGAAGTGGGACACTATTTTTTGCAACAAAAGCACTGTAACAAATGAGCAAAAAAAAAAAAGTATTTATAACTTTGTTAAAATCTTGAGTAAGAAGGCAAAATTACGTCTGATTTTGCAAACCTAAAAAAAGTAAATATTTTCTTTTAAATTCTGGAGGTAGCACAGACATATCGTGAATGCCTTTTTCAAAATGCAAATGAGCCATTTAAATCTAGATAAATCTAGATTATCTAGCAAACCCAAAGAAGCACCTAACTTAACTTTGCTGCTCCAATACAATAATCAAGCATCCAGGGAGTTATGTGGTGCAGAGGCTGGTATAAATTTCTGAGAAAATGGCTCTTTTAGCAGCTAATCTATACAGGGCAGAAACTTTTCTTTTTTAGTTAATTTCTAATGGATGAAATGTTTATGACTGCGAGAGGACTGGCACTTTCTTTAGCGTTTAGAAGTTAATTGCAACATCTTAAAATGGGAAGAACCCACATGGGATGAGGCTGATTCATTTTAAAGGCAAGATATTACTTTCTTCAGGGTTTTAACAAAACAACTAATACTTCATAACAGACTCATATTTTGTAGTACTGAAAGGATTATATAATCAGATATATGCCTATGGTTGACTCCAAAAGGCTCTTTGAAGGCATAATACAGACCTTTAATATTAAGAAATCCAAGACGAAATGTGATAGTCTTCTAGAGGGGTTACAGCCTAAAACATACCATCCCAGACACAGTGGGAGGGTTTAGATCAAATACTTTTTCATGTGGTAAAATGCCCTGGTTAAACTTCAGTCTAAAATATGATAATTATAATATTTGCTAATACTTGAAAATTGATGTTCTTGGACATTTTCTGTTGAAGATGAAATAGTATGTGCCATTCTATCAAAGGGAAAAGGCATACATCCCAGCCTCTAAATGTGCAAAACTGGTTCAAAACATACAGTGAACTCAAAGACCTTCTGCAAAAAAAGAGAAAAAAATCACACAGTGTCACACTTTTTATTGTTTTATTTAATACATGTTTGAAAAGCACATATTCTTCTCCTTCTTATTCATTTGTTATTCCTTTGCATATAATTGAAAGAGTTACACTGAAGTTTGGTTGAAAACAATGATTAAGTGAATTACAGACACAGGCACATGAAGAGGGAGGAGCAGAGGGGGCTGCTAAAACTCCCCCTTTTGCTCCCTGCCTACAAGTGACCTAAAGTGAAACATTGAGTGCTTGATCATTACAAGAATCAGAGGAACAGGAAACTCTAAGACTGTGAGAACAGCAGAGACTCATATTTAATGGACATGTACAGTTTTCAAAATGTTTATTAAAATCCTGTTTCTCTTTATCTTTATGTTGAAATTGTTGTCTTTGATCATTTTGTGGCAGATAATGTTATTAAAAAAATCCTTCTGGAAAGAAATCCAGGAATAAAGATTATATATATATATATATATATATATATATATATATATATATATATATATATATAATGGATGTCACAATGGTACAGTCTAGTTGTAGCAGTTGAAGTAGACGTTACTACATAAATATGGAGTTGAATAAAGAGCCCTCATGGTGTCTTTAATTATTCTAAGGAACAAGTTTGCCCTACTTCACCTAACACTAACTATGCCAAGATGACTACCAGTCTATTATCATAGTTCTTAAATGTGGAGATCTTGCTTTTTCTCTTTACTCTGGACCTACTCAAAGAAAAGCCAGAATATACCACAGTTTATAAAGAAAGCAAAAAATTGTTTAAATATTTTTATAATCTACTGTACCTTAAGTGTTGTGTTCCTTACCATCCATACCATTAATAAATGAAAATATTGATTAGACGATTAAAGTTAATTACAGAGTTCTTTTTAACACCATAAAATGTAAAACTAAGTGTAGATATGTTACATGCTACTAGGTTTCTGTCTGCAATACACTTTCAGGAACTGATGCATGTCTTTGCCCACTCACATATCCACGGCAAAGAAAGGGTTCCTGCTCGATAGGGAGCAACAGACAACATTTTAGGCTGGGGTCAGTCACTTTAACAGAATGTAAACAGATAACAATGCTGTAGAGTTTAATCCCTTTTACTTCTGCACTTTCTAAGGGGTTCACTTGTCATTAATATACCTACATACCAACATAACGGTCTTCACAGATCCTTTGATCTGTAAAACTGTTGACAATGAGAATTGTGACTTTTTGCCAAGACAGCTTCTTTTTCACTTCTGTCTAGTTGAGTTACAGTACATGGCAGTAAATATTTTTCACACAGACCTATAACGAAATCTTTTCCAACTAACTGCACTGCCAAAACCTGCCTGTCTGCACTTGATTCCTACTCCTGTGAACCTTTCCTCATAACAAATGGACGGTTAGATTTGAGAAGGCATGCTTAAAATTATTTTTACTTTAAAAAGTTACTTTTTGTTTTCCAAGAAAAAAATTCTCCTGGAACAGGTGGGAATCCAAACTAAGGACCCTTCAAATTCAGTGCAACGCCAATTAAAAGAAAACACTTACCTTAGTTTTGCAAGAACCTAAAAATATGCTTTCTTCTCTTCCATGCTGTAAACGCTTTCTGTCAGGGCAAACTTTACAAATAGATCCACACGGCATGTCTGAGGAAATTAAACATTAAGCAGCGAAATATGAGCTTATCACTCGTGAGTGGAAGAGGTATGCTGAGCCTATTTTTTCAGAAGCCTGAAGAGATGCACAGTGATTTGCAAATGAAGACCTCAGTACTCCCACAGGCTTCTTAAACAAGCATCAGCAAGAGATTACATCATCATCGTCATCATTATCTGTATTTTCTCCAATCACTGCTCTTTACTTCCATGACACTTAACCAACAAGCTTGGTTAGAAAAAACATACTGACACATTTTCACATCAATATTTTAATGAGGAGTTCCGACAAGGTCTCGATTTCTGTTTTGCTGAGGAGTAGATGTCAGTTAGGAGCCCTGATTTAGGCAAAGCATTATACAGTTTATTAAGAATCAGGGTGCAAAGTATGTCCAATATGTCAGCCCCTCTCTGCTGCTCTGCTCCTCTCTGAGGTCCTCTGATCTAATGTTGCATTCCCTTTGAGATGGAGGAAACAACATGGCGGGTATAAAATCACTGCAAACAATAAAACAAACCCAAAGTCCATAGAAAGCTAAAAAATACTAAAAGCAAAAGTTCACCCAGGATAACTGTTAAACTGGGCATCCAGTCATCTGGAACATCCATCCATTATCTGAGACACTTTATACCAAGTGGGGTCACGAGGGGTCAGAGATGGGAAGTAACGAAGTACAAATACTTCGTTACTGTACTCAAGTAGATTTTTCTGATATTTTTACTTTACTTTACTACTTATTTTTATG